TGCAGAGGCAAAGGGAAGCGTGGTCAACTAAAAACATCACTCAGTCCAAGGGCAGATAGGCTGTGTTAACCCAGTATTGGACTCTCCAAGCAGTGCACTGGAGAATACTAATACTATTTTTATTGTAAGGCTACAGTAAAAGAATCTTGCAAGTCTGAAAGCATTTTTCTCCTTCTATACTTTTACTTTCCAGAAAACTGCGAAGGTCCCTTCTAAGACACTTCCATACTCTTCTTGCTTCTATGGGCTGATACCTCTCAAAGTTATTCCCACATCCTATTACAGATACCTCGGGTGTCCTTTCCTCGGTAACATCTAACTAAACTGTTAGATGAGATTATCCATCAGTTCAGGTTTTGGTATCATGAATACTCTAGTAATACCCAATTTTGCATCTCAACTCCAGGCTGCACAGGTGAAATGGTCAGTTACTAAATCAGTGTCTGGAGGCCATTTAGGTCTGAATGGAGAGAAACAGACTTTGGCTCAAGCCTGACAAGACTGAGCTGCTGTAGTATTGGGTTTCCCTGTGTTGGGTAGGTTTTCACTGTTGGTCTTGGATAGCTTGATTAGTAAGCAACTCTCTGGTCTTTCTGGACTTGAGCAGATGGCAGCTGACACCTCTTGTGTGCCAGTTGTCTCTTTTTCTCAACTAGGAGATCCTATAGATAGTTACTCATGCCCTACTCATCTAATGACTGGAATTTGAAATGTGTTCTACATGGGGCTGCCCTTGAAGGCAATCTGAAAGGTACAGCTATGTCAAAATGCAATGGCCTGAGCAATTATGGGTATCTCATTTTGCCCATGTGTTACTACACAAACAGCAGTGGCTGTCAGTTGGCTTCAGGGTGCAATCTGAAATATTGGCCATTACCTATATAGTCCTTTATGGCATAGGGGCTCATTTTCTTAGGGACCACCTGTCTATAATAGTTTATGCCTATTTGGTACATTCAGGCAGAATAGCTATGCCCCAGATCCCCTCAATTAAGCATTATCATTTGGGGGGATGGAAGAAGTGTCTTCTCTGCCCCATGGAACAGCACTCCGAAGAGAAGTATAGTGTTAACTTTCTTGGGACTCCAGGCTCTATAGACCAAGTCTGGAGTTAGTGCCTCTGTGGAACTCACCAGATTTTTATTGGTTTGGTTATTTTTAGTCTGGGCTGCCACTTTTTGTTTCGTGCTTTTAACTTTTTAAATCTGGATACTGTAAGCCACTCAAGTGTTGTGGGGTGGGCAATCATAATAAACTTAATACAAGTAAGTAATGCAAAAACTAACTGAATTTAGTTTTAAGTGCTGTATTTCTTTGGTCATAAGCTTACCTGATAACGGAGTACATCCAAGTGCTTCTTCTTTAGACATATGTTCCCTGATAGGTGTACTATGAAAGCAAATATCAGAATTGCCATCTGGTTCTTTGCTCAATGGGGAGACACAAAATGGTATTTTGCTTTCCTTTTTGACAGATTTCTGTTCTTTCTCAGCTACAGATTTATTTTCTTCTAGAGAAGACAATATACCCTCTGAGTCTTCTAAATTAGATTGCTTAGAATCAGTGGGTACAACTTGTTGCCAGGGAGGAAGTCCTGGTGAATCAGGAGAACTGTAATTGGTACAATCTTCCTCTTTTTTATCCTTATCTATTGCTGCAGGGACAAGTGGCATTGTCTTTACTTTAACAGTAGACTTACTCATTTCAGAGACATTTACACCAAACTTTTCCATAGTTTGAGGTGATGTGGGATTTGAAGATGAAAAGCACAGATCTTCTGATTGTACAGCAGGTTTGCTTGGTGTACCAGAACTCACAGCAACCTTGACTATCTGATCACACAGATTCTTAGGCAAAGACATATTGTTCAAACTCTCATCAATCTTTTCTATTTCAATTGATTTGATGACAGCTCTTTTTTTAAAATATTCGTAATCTTCTTTGGCTTGAAGCCATGACTGAATTTGCTGATAGCTTGGTGCACATTTGCAAGGCATGATCACTATCTTTTTGTCATTAATTTTACGGGTGTTCCTTTGTTTTTTATCAGTAGAAAATTGGCTATTTCGAAGGGGAGAACCTGGCCTAGGACTCTGTGCCATTGCCAAAAATGCAGTCTTCCAGAGTTGTAGTCCCTCCAAAGAGAAATCTCCTTCAAATTCAAGTAGATCATTTGGAAGTCTAGATTCTACTGTAAGTACTCGTCCTCCAATCTCTCTGTAAAAATAATTACTTTCATTATTTTTCTCATAAACAGAATTGATTTTATTAGTAGTCTTATTTGTCCTTACTGTTTTTATCCATCTAATACTTAAATATAAGTATACATTTATTGTATAATGGAAACTTTCCTATCTTCTATTGAAGCCCTCAAATCTATTCTATAAGTATAATCTTTATTGTCATTGTACTTAAATACAACGAAATTGGTTCATATTCTAGAAGGTCTTCAACTTCCAACTCAGATTTGGAAAGAACAGAGAGATCAAGAACAGATAATCTGATTTACCAGGAAAAAATATTATCTTCAATACAAAACTACTGCATACAATAAAACATACAGTAAATAATAAAATGTGGTTAAATTACCTAAGCAAAAGAATAAACTTAAGTCAAAACCCTTTAGGGTCTAAGATAAGGCCCCAAGGTAATAAATTAAATAATTGACTATGAATAACTTTGTTGAGACCCAGGAATATTAAAATGGTAATTTATCTAGTTTCATTTAAATACTTCCGAGTAATACCCAATCATTCCTACATGTCACATTCACAAGGATTATTTAACGATACAAATCAACCAAAGTGTTTTACTTTTATAGCTGAAATTTAATTGTGATTCTATGTAGCTCTAACTTTCACCTTGTAGGCATTCACTGTGTAATGGGTCCAGAAAGGAAGGCTATATTAAATTGTATCCAACTTTTTAAATCTTATGTAAAAATTTAAACTTTTCTATTGATAAAGAGAAATATGACTACAGAAAGTCCTATTGACTATCTATATAACCACATTACCTTGGCTTTTCAGGTACATCAGAGGGGTTGCTGCAAAAAGGTTCTTGATAAATTGTTTCTGCCAGATCATGATCTAATAAAGTTGACATGATTTCTTCACGACTGGGAGGTGACATTAGAGGTTTAAGGATGTGAGCAGCACGAACTGTAGAGCTCCCATTTTTTGACTGTGATGGAGAGCTTGTAGATCTAGGTGAACTGTCAGGGGTTGGTGTTAATCCCTCATTGTTTCTTGAAATATACAACTCTAAATCTTCAGAAGCAGCATCCATAAGTTCACCATCGGGGGAAGATAAAATAGAAGAAAAAGAAATACCAGCTGAATCAAGCAATTGCCCAGATTCAGAAATGACTTCCTTTCTAAAGGGATTTTGACTCCAATCACCATTTGGAGATGAAAGATTAAGAAAAATTGCTTTCTTCATTATATTTCTATCCAACTGAAGTTGTTCTTTATGACACATTTCAGCCTGCTGACCAACTGCTGGTGAACCAGGTTGAGACGTAGATGGAAGAATGGTTTTCCACTGATTGTGGAGAAGATTTTCATTGTTTTCCAGACATCTTTTATCAAAACGTTGAGGACTATGTTGGCCAGATCTTAACCAAGATTGAGTATCTGTATTATGCATATTTTCTTCCTTTGATACTTTATTATGATTCAAAAATTCAGTTTCTGCTGTTTGACCTGGATAATGGTCCTGAGCTACATCACTCAGAAACTTCTGTGGTAAATTTTGATCTGCTGGGACAAACTGACTTGCAGAATACAAACTACAAAATCCAGTCTGCCCTATAGCATTAATATCAAAATTGTAATTATGATCAGGTGACAGACTATCTTCAAGTGAGTAACAGCTTTCAAAACCTGCATCTGAATAAAGAATAGAAGTATCAGTAAGTGTAACATGGCCAGTTTTATTACTTAGTTGTTTGGCTGAGTCTTTTAAAAGCTTTACCACCTTTTCTTTAGATTTTTTATCCCTGGGAATACGAGGCTTTCTTGAGGATGCAACAGAACCAGGTTTTTTTGCTGGTTTATTTGAATCAGCAAACAAGGATGCATCTATGTTTGACTGAGATTTAACTGATGCTTGTTCATGAATGTTGTTCATATGCATTTTCTGTTGTCTCTTTTGGAGCAATTCTTTCAGAACTGCTAAGCCAGATTGCCCTTCATTGAATGCTGAAGGAGTTACCAGACCCTTGCTCTTACATTGAGAATCTGTTTGGGCTTGAGATATTGTTTCCGACACTACTTTTTGTTTTGTATTTTTTTCAGGGCTAAAATGTGCCACATCCAAAATAAATCCCTTCTGTTTCTGTTCCCATTCTAATTTGTTCATCGGACTTCTTAAAGAAGCTATAAAGCATTTTTTTGGTAACTGAAAAGATCCATGGCTTTCCCCAGAAGTTTTTAAAAAAGAAGAAATATGATCAGCCTGCTTTGTTGCTTCTGACAAATGAACTATTTGCTGCTGATTATCTTTACAATGCAGGAGGTTACCAGGATGAATCTGATCAGTATTGATCACATCAGAAGAAATACAGTTTTCATTTACTTTTCCCACAGAGGATAAAAGTTTGTTTTGTGAATTTGTAACTTCTTCTGTCTTTTTAAGTGCATCCTTAGAACTATAAGCCTTCAGTGCTACCTGAGATATACAGTTACACTGGTCATATACATTATTTTGAACTGAGGATTCTTCCATCCTAAATATACCACTCTGACTGTTAGATCTTTGGAAATTTATTTTGGCTTTTTCCCTTCCAGATATCAGAGAAGCTATGTCTGGATGAAGATCCTCTGTCAAACTGAAACCTTGGTGTCCAATAGGCTTTTCATTTTCCAACAATGACTGGAAATAAATCAATGGATTTACTTGGGCATTAGCTGTTAATGAAAGCTGTGCTGAAGATGGATGTCCTGTAGTACAGCTAGTGGATGCAAGCTCTTTTGTAAATGGTTGTGAATTTCCTAGGTTGTGAACATTCTCAGGTAAATCCCAGGGGTGTGGTGTAGGTTTACGTTCTGTTACAGGAGGAATACTATTTTGACCATCTGCAACTGTCACCAATGTTGAAACTTTTTTAAATTTTTGTTTTTGTTTTGATCTTGGCTTTTTCTTCAAATTATTTCTAGGTTTATTAGACTGATTGCTTTTTTTGCTTCTTATAGTAGCATTAGCAAATTGCTTTCTACATTTTTTAACCTGAGTTTTTGACTGAACGTGTTTTCCTACATTGGAATTAACAGTTTTACTGCTGAACGTATTAGTATTTTTAAACACTAATGTTTCTTTTTCTAGATTACACGCAATTTCTTCAGCATTTGGATCAGTGGGAGACCAGCACCGGGGTGGGGATACATTAACTGGACTTGCACTTCTTTCTGACAGAAAACCTAATTTAGACATAACATCACTATAATTCAAGTCACAATCTTCAGTTTCAGCATTGTATGATGGCAGAGGAGCGGAAAGAAAGGCATGAGTCCTTTTTCTGAAATACAGGGTTCTTCTAATAGTTTTACTTTTTATATTTTGTGGGTTCCCACCCAGCCTTTTCTTGGTGGACTTACATTTTGCTTTTCTTTTGTTACTTTTCTTTGGTGTTAATGGATAAATAGGATATTTGGTTGCAGGTGAATCAGGAACTTTTGGCCAGAAGTCCTTCAAAGGTGCAAGCTTCTTATATAGATTCATTCTCTCTTCAGTAAGTAACACTTGTTCCTCACTAGAATCTATTTTCCCCAACTTAACAAGCATATTTTTCCGCCCCCTGAACCTATTAATAATAATATATTTTATAATAACAGGTGGCAATTTTCTAGAAAGCCGCCTTCGTTTTCTAAATTTTTTAGAACCATCAACATCTTCATCATTTTCTACAGTAGAATGAGGTAGCATGATTTTTGAATTATGTATGCCCAAACTAGATTCACTGTCTTCAGTTTCATAATTTATTTTACGTTTAGCTCGGAGTGTATATTTATTACTACACAGCCCAAATGTTTGCTCAGATTCTTGAGCAAAATCTTCAAAATGACAATCAGTATAGTTCCTAGTGTCTTTGGACATTTTGTTTTCAAAAACCGTATGATGAATTTGAGTATCATTGGGTAACAAAATGTCTCTATCAGAAATATTGCTACTTGCATTATCTTGTACATAGCAGCTTTCTTTTGTAGATAAAGTATCCATGGCACTTGAAGACTGCTGATTGCTAAGAACCATTTTCTTTTTACTTCGTTTTAGCTTAGACTGTTTTTTGCAGTGTTGTAGTTTGTATGTCACAGGGCCCAATTTCTGCGGCTGATTGAGGCAATTAGAAAGAACTACACTAGGAAAGAACATATAGTGTGCTGCCTGTTGATTTACATTTGTTTTTTCAGTCTTGTGTTCCTCAAATTCTTCGTATCTAAGTTTAAAGTTATTAAGGCTATCTCCGTCAGTGCTTTTTTCAGAAGAAAGAATAAGAGTCTGAGTCTCTGAGCAAGACATAGTTTCACAGTTTTCTGGTGCTGGGAAAAGGCTATTTAAATCGGTGGTGTTTGCTTTTATATTTATTTCAGAAGATGTTTTATTTTTGGAATAAACTAAATCTACAAAGTTAGACTTCTTTGTTAGAATATTTTCACTAATTTGGTGGTTCATATGCTGAGATACATCCTTTGCAACCTTTCTAATTCCAGCATACTTTCTGCTAGGCAAGTGTCTGTTTACAGAAGAGATGTCTTCACACAAAACAGGGCCTTTTTCACTTTTATTATTTTCCTGATGTGGCTTTTCAGAATGAAGGATATTGTTGAAGGATGCTGGGTATTTCATGTTGTAAATACTTTCATTTGAAAGAGAATGGATTGATAAGTCAGGTCTTATATCTATCATGCTTGGTTGAGTAAGACCTTCTAAGTCATCAGTATTCAAAACATGAGAAGAAAGGGCACTTGTGTGTTTACATTGAAAAGTTATTTTGGCAGATGATGGGGGTTCCAGAGTAGCAGCATCTTTATGAAAAATTGTAGTCTTTACAGTTTTACTTGTTGCAATTGCAGAGGTGTGGGTCCGAGAACCTTCATTGTTCAAAGGATTGTCTAGAACAGAACAGATGATTTTTTAAACTATTTTTCCCCTGAGGTTATATTGTTTAAACTATCAGCAAGTATACAGATGTTGTTTGGCCAAATAATAATTCTTGATGATAAAAGAATATAGTTAAAGAAATTCTAAGAGCATCAAGCAGTAGAAGACCATAATGTGGTATGAGAGATATTTTAGATAACATTCATAGAATTTCACAATATTTATAAAAAGACTAGCTGATAACCTTGTGTTGCCAGGGGATTTATTTATCCCAATCATGTATTAGACAGGAAAAGAAATGAATTATATGCATAGTATCAAATCAAAGTAATTTTATTTACAGGTGTTTAGCATAATCAAAGCCTTGTTGAAAATGTCAGGACCAAATGTAATTTTTACTGTTGGATTTTCCCCCTTACCAGAGGGAGTCCCCTTGTGGAGTACTGTGAAGCAGTTACCATGGCAACTCCACTGCAGTAGAAGCCATTTTAAGGCACAACAGGCTGTATCTTAACAGAACACCCCCCACAAGGGGTCTTGGCGGTGTTTTAGCCCCACAGTATTTGTTTTCAGAGAGTAAGTCATTGGTGTACCAAGTTTGGTTGAAATTGCTCAAGGCATTCCAGAGGAGTGGAGCAGTGGAGTTGCCATATATGTATGTATGTATGTATGTATGTATGTATGTATGTATGTATGTATGTATATATGTATATATGTATATATGTATTTAAAGTCACAACCCCTGGTATGCCCCAATTATGGGAGGAAGCTAACTGCTTCCATTCTCTGTCAATCGGCTCGTCACAAGAGTCCATCATGGCAGAAACCCAATATTTTTACTGTTGCCTTTGTTATATTTGTGTTTTATTTGTGTTGAATAAATAAATAAAGGGAGACTAATATATATCTATTTCAAGCTATTTAGCTCTCATCAGCTAGCCATACCCTCACTGGGATTTGAACCTGGGCTATATTACATATTAGGCAGACGTCTTAGCCACTCGAATCCCAGTAAGGGTATGGCTAGCTGATGAGAGCTAAATAGCTTTAAATAGATCTATACTAGTCTCCCTTTATTTATTTATCAGCACAAATAAAACACAAATATAACAAAGGCAACAGTAAAAATATTGGGTTTCTGTCGTGATGGACTCTTGTGACGAGCCGATTGGCTTAATGGCTAAAACGTCTGCCTAATATGTAATATAGCCCAGGTTCGAATCCCAGTAAGGGTATGGCTAGCTGATGAGAGCTAAATAGCTTGAAATAGATCTATACTAGTCTCCCTTTATTTATTTATCAGCACAAAACACACACACACACACACATATATATTATGGAAAGCCCCTAAGTTTTGACAATTACACTTAATTTTGACTACTTAATTTTTTGATGGTGAACCACTTGAAAATATTGGCTCAATGTTATGATTGGGGTGGTTGAAAATAAACTCAACAATTTCACCTAAAATTTAACTTTATGATATATGTGGGGCAAGCTTCCTATCAAATGCTTCTGCAAAGCACCTAATCCACATATGTGACACAGAGATTGTAATGAAGAACTATTGTTTCTGGGGGAAATGCAACTGTAAAATCCTTTAAGTATACTTACCACCATTTTCATCTGCAGTTCCATCTAATTGAGGTATAGAAAGGCTTGCTAGAAGCACATTATCATTCCAGTCCATATCATCTTCAGAAGAACTATCATCTTCACCTGAACTTTGATTTCTACTTCTGCCCATTGACCTATAAGAAATACAACCTATTTTACACATTTGAAAACTTCTGATTATAATCTGGTAGTTCAATTATGACACATTTAATCTTGGACAGAAAAGACAAATAAATCTGTAAAATTCACTTTCCAGGTCGATGACAGTCTGATGAGTATTATTGTTGTGATGAGATCACTTTCTGCTCAGATCTAAAACTGTATCCCCTTCCTGGGCAAAGTTATTGAGGTGAAATAGCTGTTCAGATTGGATGAAACTAAATTTCTAGATACATTTCAACTAGGGTTTAAGTCTTGTTTGAATTGTCCATCCTATTAGATGGCTTTTGCTGAGACATAGGTAGGCAGAGTTGATTCTCTATAATTTTTGATACAATTTATCATGGCGTACTATAGACACATTTTAAATTTGGACCTGTTTTAGTGAGTTGCAAATAGATGCTATATGTGTCTTCTAACACTTTCAATTCTCTTTCAAATGAAGCACTACATAGGCTTATTTCTTTCCTCTATCAATACGTCTAATCTCTTCTCTATCAAAATCGTTTCCAATCTTACTACAGTTTTCAAAAATATGACAATTAGGGCTAAACTAGTATGACTATGTTTCAATTAAGGCTTCTAGATTACCTTGCTTAAAGTCGTATCTACTGCACATTAGGCTGACTGAGCTTACATTTATTCCTATACATTGTCCTACAGATATGTTTTGATATTATATTAGATCATGGATAATATATAGATTATATAGATTTTCTTCAGTAGCATGGAAGGTTCAATACATTGAACTTTGATTCAGTACTTGATCAGTACTTTTATCAGATGCCCAAATGTACTAAAAAAGAATATACCTTCTCTTTGCATCATCATTTGAGCTGCTGTCCCATTGTTGGGACATTAGCAAACTGAGCTCCATTTCTTCTTTTTCAATCTGTGGCTCATTTTCTTCATCATCACTGTTCTGAAGATTTCTATGGTGTCCAGAAGAATAATGCTGTGATGATGCATTTTGTTGTACAATCTCATACCCATCATCCTCCAATTCAGCTAAAAGATCTATCATGGCTTGATCAGCACTGTTATTCACTACAGGAAAAAAGAATGTATTTTTGTATTTTTTAAAGAAATCACTGTTAAAAACAATCTCTGCATTGGTTTTTGTTTTAATAAAACCTAAAAACCTCCTCATCTCAATGCCATAGATGAATGAAAATATACTAGATTTTTCATTTTTATTATCATTTCTCTCATGTATCTTAACATGTGTTTACTGATTGGTCAGATATGATCAACATTATGTTGGCTTACATATTCCACGTTGAGCACAAATCAATGGTTTATTTATTTATTTAGCATATGGTGATGGTACATTAGCTAGGACACTACATGGTTGGTACAGAGTAGTGGTTTGGCTGCCTAAGGCTGCTAGTCCATTTGGTTCACACTTGCATGCTATCCAAGGTGTGTACCACAGAGGGTGAACTAGCTCCGTATTCAGAATGGTTAACAGTGTTCTTCAGTGTCATCCGGGGTGTTTCCCTCTGATGTTGCCTCGCAATTGGGGATTGCATTTGGGCAAGTCCTGCACCAGTTGAGATTGTACTTCCATACAAAGTACCATTATTTTTCCCACTGAAGTGGTATCTATTTATTTATTTCCATGTAACATGCTTTTGAACTGCTAGGTTGGCAGAAGATGAGGCAAGTGATGTGAGCTCACTTCATCATGTAGTGCTAGGACTTGAACTGCTGGAGCAAAGACCACCTCCAAGATTTTAAGCCACTAAGCTAATACACCTTTTTACAAATGAATGGTGACAATGGGAGGAAAAAATACAGCTATGAGTTGGGGGGAAACGGGACCACCTTCTGAATGAATGCAACCTAGATGAAAAACATATGTTAGGTGATATGAATGGACTGATGGAAACCAGACAAGAAAATGCAGAAAAGTAATTTGATAAGTATTTTTCAGAAAAAGGCCCATTTATTTCAATTTTTTGCCTTCAATATATGTATACATACATATAGCAAAGGAAGGAATCTAAGGCATTATTTGTTATAAACGATTGAGGGAATTAGTGAAGAAAGAAAGAAGAGTTATTTAAAGTGGGACAGCCACATCTGAATGTGCTAATAATGGATTTGGGGAGGAGTAGATATGGAAGAAGAGAAATGAAGGAAAATAAAGTGAAAGAATGACTGAATAAATGTGTAAGTTTTGTATGATAAATAGTACAAGATAAACTCCAAGAGAGTACATGAAAAATGAAGCTAAAGAAAAAGTTGTGGTAAGTACTTGAATTAGTGTTAAAAATATGGTTTTAAAGAATGCTATCAAAGAGAACAAAGGTGAGAGGAAGACAAATATGATGTTGATGGAAATAAAAATTATATTAGAAGTGGGTGAAAAGGGTTTAAACACAGAGTCTTTAGAAGAGTGTACAGAAATGATGGACTTATTTGGGAGGAAACTGAAGAGAAAGAATAGGGGAAGAAATATTTTAGCAACTTGCAAAGAAATGTTAGTGATATGTTGAAGAATGCTATTGAAACAAGTATTACAAAATGTTAGGGTCTAGGAAAGAAGTGGATGAAAACACAGTGAAAATGCTGAAAAATGGTAAGATTATATGGTTGGGAAAGGTACCGAGGAATGCGTGATTGATGTTGTGTGGATTTGGAAAGGCACATAGGGGCATTGAGGGTCAAAAGAGTGCAAGGAAGTCATGGAGGAGAGCTAAGAGGTGCCATGGGAGTCAGGTAGGGTCCACAGGAGGATAACAAATGTCAAGAAGGGTGCATGAAAGCACCATGATGGGTCAAGGATGGCATGTGGAGGTGGTATGAGTTGGATCAGGGAAGCACATGTGACTAGCATGGGTTGAGGATGGTGTATGAGAATATACAAGAAGTGCTACCTGGGTTGGGAAAGACATGTGGGCGGAACAGGTCAAGGAAGATAGCCGCCTGGGGAAATACACAGTGGCGTAGATTGAGAATGATGCATAGAGGTTTCTTCCTCCCTGTTCCTCCCTTCTTTCCTTCTCCCTTTCTAGCAGGTAAGTGCCTGCTGCTGGGTAGGGGAGGGGGGAAATATTAGAGAGAAACTGGCCATGCCAGGGGGAGGGGTCAAATGGGTAATTAGTCTGGAATCCCTATATGGGCACAAGAAGGCAAAGGCTGACCTTCTCCTTAAATGCCACTGAACGTTATTTAGTCTAATCCAGGTAGAAACTTTCAGTCTGAGAAAATTCCTGTGTATAAGCTTGAGAAATAAACAGCTAACTGAACTCTTTACATGTAGATCTGGTTGTTCACCCTGACAGCAAGGGATTGCAAGAATGGTTGGGAAATTATCATGGAACATTGCAAATGAAGATCAAATGACCACAGTAGCAACCTAGCAGCAGCAAGTAGCACTGAAACAGCCACAACCTTCCCAAATTTCATTCCTTTCCGAGTCATAGGTCTCAGATTTTGGACACATGTTTTAAGTTTATTCATTTATATTTCACATTTCTAAACTGCCTGACTCCCTCAAAAAAACACTCTGGGCAGTGTACAGTAAAACATCAAAATCTAAAACAGTATGTAAAAATTAAAATGTCAAAGAGTTAAAATTTTAAAATGAAAATCAAAAGAGTTAAATTTGGATAGAGCTGATGAGAACTTTAAAGAACAATCAGAAATGTGTGAACAAGTTTAACTGGGTGGATAGAAGCAATGATAATTTGCAAGGTCAGAGAAGAATAGAGAGGCATAGTATTGTAAAAAATAATTTCCTTTTCTACTACCTTTTGCCTTTAATTTCTCTTGCTTAATAATTCTTATACTTTCCACACATTTTAGATATGTGTATACGATGAGTATGTAAAAAAATAAACCAAATGCATGGATATACTGTAAGTAATAAAAACGGAACCCACTAATAATTCTTAGATACTTTTTAATTATCTGATTTCCTGCTGTTTTAAACAAGCAAGACAAACAGGGTGATTAATATAATAAAGCCACATAAATTCTTACCAAAGTAATTAAAACACTTTAATATCTATACCTAAATATTCTTAATCCTTACTTAGAAAAGTCTTTGTGAATTATACTTACTAAATCTCTGAGATACGGGTTGGAAATATTGACTATTTTCCATTATATTCAAAATGGCTTCTTCATTTATAAGTGCATCCTCTTTGTATTTGCTTTCGGAATCTTCTAAAAAATGAACAAGGATTCTGGGTTAGCTGCCAATACTGTTTTACAAATATCACAAGACTATTAAATTCTTAAAATGTGCATTTACATTTTGTGAAGATATAATATACTGGGAACATGCTTGTGGTTCAAGAGAAGTAAGATGTCTTTATACTTTATTTTAATAAAATGATACATAAAGCAGCTTTCTTTTTCTTATCTACTGGTTTTTTTTGTATATACCGTATTTTTCGGAGTATAAGACGTACTCCCCCCCCCCAAAGAGGGTGAAAATTTGGGTGCGTCTTATACACAGAATGTAGCAAAAAACGTGAGGCATGAAGGAGGCAATGGTCTGTGGCAATCCCTGCAGCCTGGAACAGCTGATTGGAGGTATTCCAGGAGACTGATCCACCCGCCAATCAGCTGCTCATGCAGAATCAGGCTGCAATGTGCTGAAGCTGACCTGGCCGTTCACTATTTGCTGCAGGGATGTGCCAGAGTTTGCAGCAGCAATCACATTCAGAAAGTACACAGAAGTAACTGATTTAGCAGGATTCAATAACTTCTCCTTATGTATAATATAACATATTAAGTAAATATACAATACCCAAAGCAGGTTTTCCAACGTAGTAGTTCAGCAGAGAAGTTTCACTTTCCGTTTTAATTTCAGATATCAGCACAGCATGCAGTTTTAGTACAGTACAAGCCACACCCAGGCTTCTTGCTGTTTCCTTCCTTATTGCTCACACAGCAAATACTGTTTGTTTCCAAACAGCCCTCAACTCTCTTACATACTGACAGGACGCTAGCCAGATGAATACCATGGATGCTGGTAGGCAGAGGCAGAATTTTTTTTCGTATTTTCCTCCCCAAAAACTAAGATGAGTCTTATATTCTGGAGCGTCTTATACTCCGAAAAATAAGGTACATTTGTTTTCTCTTGTTCAACTGGCCCCAACTCTTGGAGACTGCCCAGACAAGTAGCCAAAGTCACCCTGCTGGCTTTGTGCCTAAGGTAGAACTAGAACTGACAATATTTTGGTTTCTAGCCTGGTATCTTAACCACTAAACCAAGCAGCTTTTCATATTATATATTACATATACATACTACATATACATATGTAATACATATTACATATTATATAGACTTAAATATATGTACTAAATTTCCTTTATCTCCAAATACTGAGTAAGCAATAAATGTGAATTTGTTAATTTCTTCAGCAGACTGGAATTAATCAATACATCTTATATATAAATCTTACCAGAATCTGTTGAAAATTTAACAAATACATTATAATGTTCCATCCTAATTATGTTAATATTACAAATATTACCAATATTCCTAATAATACATGTAGTTATAGCATGCCATGTATATATATGTCTTAAAAGTTCATCTTAAGCCAAAGTTAAATAGTCAAGATACTGACCAATAATAAAAATGCATATTAACATTAAATAGGATTATAGACACTCATAATATTCACACAAAGTGTATCAACAAATTGGTAATAAAGGATAAAATAAAATGCAGATGAGCATGAAGATAGTCTGTTCAATAGAAAAGTTCTTGTGTTCATTTCAATATCTTCCATTCTGAATAAATCAGTTCTAATAGGACAAGTCTTGTAATTGAAGAAAACAACTGCTGTATTAATACTAACCTCTGTGCAGTTCCTTATCACTGTGTACTTCTATCATATTTGCTGGTGAGCATGAAACAATTTTAGGTATCTCAGAATGTAATGTCAATTCAGCAGAGAATTCTTGAGATTCATTATTGCTGTCTATTGAGCCAGATGTCCTAATTAATAATAAAAAAAATTAATGTGATTGTTGAATTCAGAGGTAAAAAGATAAAGATTAACATATAAATTAATACTTACACAGAAAAATCACTTTGTTTGAGTATTTCTTTAAGTCTCTTCTGAAAGATTCTTTCACTTTCTGTTGGGGCCACAAATCCACGATCTTTTTTTCATGAAAAAAATATAAGGAATTTAGAGTCACTATATTAATATTCTCCCCCCCTTAAGAATTGTTACTAAATATTTTAACTGAAAATAAAGCAATATATCATCTGTAAATGGCCATGCCCATTAAAAAAAAAGAATCTGGATCTACACCTATGTAGATTCTATTTCGATCTATTCAGAACTTCGGAATTGAACTTCGGAATAGAACTTCTCTTGAAATATCCATAAAACATGACGTATTGGTAGTCCTCGACTTATGACTATTACAAATAGTTATATATTATTTTAATATATTAATATGTATTGATATATATTATATCACAAAAGTAACCTAAGTCACAACAGTGTTGAAAAATGACTTATGACTCATGTGCAAAAGTATGGCTGTTGCCGCACTTCTAATTTGAGGCATTAACTGTTACACTAAACAGGAACAACAATACTGACACAAAATGGTGCAAGATTTTGAATTATTTGAGGAAGGTAACATAAAATGAAGAAATGAAGCAAAATATACTCAAACTAGGCAATGAATTTTAGCCATGAATTTCAGAGTAATTCTTATCAGTGTAACTGTAAGACAAAGATGGGCAATTGATTTCCCCAAAGGCTCCATGAGAAACTGGGACTGTTGTGGAGGACTAAACTAATAGGGCTGTGAAAGTGCATAGGCGTGCATGGATACACACATAGATAAATGGGAAAAAAGTAGCAGTCACCTTCAAAATAAAAACAATGCAATCGTATTGCATGCATGACATATACTTATTTGCATTTAATTTCTAATTTCCGATTAAGCTCACGTGGGCTGGAAAGGGCCGGATGTGGGGACAGCCGAAGGGCCTGATGTGGGACCATAAAATGCCCAGGTCTGCTGTAAGATATTAAACTAATGCATTCCTGAATTTTTAGCATCTTCCAGATGGTAAAAAAACATATGCAATTTACTTATATATCACTTCTTAGATACAACACTTTGCAAATTATGGCACTGCATTCATATTATTCTAACTTTAAGAACAAATGCTTTTTCCTCACTATTTCTGCTTTTTTGGACCTAAGACTATACTGGTAATAGAAAATGAAAATGGAGTTTAAAATAAAATGAAATATAATCCAGTGAGAACATATAAAAGCAACAGGTAAAAAGAAGAAATTCAGAAAATGTTATGATGTTATATTATATACATTCCAAAATTTTTATATCCCACATTTTATTTAGGAGTTCACAATAGCAGTATCCAATCAAAATTAGACATTTTAGTCCAACAATTCTACCTTGTGAGTTAGGAGGAGTAATTTGGGATGACTCTTTGTTCTGCCGACGACGCTGTTTCTCATCCTCCCATATTGCTTGTAACCCTGGATTCTGACCAATCTGGGCTAGATCAGAAAAGATGCAGCAGAATCAATGGCAGCATCAAGCTTATTAAGACATAGCTTTACAAGAGGTCATCTTGAATAGCAATAGTAAGAAAAATCTGCCCTCCCTCATGTTTATCATGTTAGGCTTATATTTCACCTTTTACCCAGAAGCTCAAGAGATAATAACTGACCTAAAATCACCCACTATGATTTTGTAAACTTTAATGGTTGAGGGTGGACTTTACTGGGTACAGTTTAGCACCTTTCCTACTGGCTATCAAAAAAGTTATTTATCTTTTTCTATTAAAATATATTATTGCTTAACAGAACACAAATATTTTAAGTGAAGGAATTATACACTGAACTGAAAAAACAACAAACAAACCTACAAATATACCATGTGATCACACAAAGAAAAATACTTTACCTTCAATATCCAATCTATTTAAAATATCAGCAGCTACTGCATCCACTTCCAATTCACAGGTACTCTGTGGCTCTATACCTTCCAATATCAAAGAGCTGCATTTAAATTAAAGTTAAAAAGAGTATTATGTTATATATATATATATTAAATGTATTATAATAAACATAGAAATTATATGTAAAGTTTTGTATCAAAATACATAAATAATCACAGATTTACAATGGTTTTAACCTTAGTTCAACTAAAGAATGAGAAGCATTAGATATGTGCAAATGATAATATTCTTCCTATTCTACCAGGGCTAAAAGTGAGATTCCCCCAATCTTGCATAACAACACAAAAGTTGTGGCTAAAGGTATTTGTAAGTCCTGTAGAACAAGATATATATGGGGAAAAAACCGACTGACATGTCACAATCAGGTCAATGGAATTCAAGAACAAGATTAGAGAAGGGATTGTTGAATATGAAAAGTCTGATTCTATTGGGTTTGGGTTATCCTATTTAATTTCTTTTTAATTTTTGTATTGTGTGTTTCTTTTAATGTTGTATGCCGCCCTGAGTCCTTAGGAGAAGGGCGGTTTATAAATCAAATAAACCTAACCTAACCATATTTACAATGCAGGTACTCTTCAAATGTTGAGGGTCACGCTTGTCATAATTCCTGCTAAAATGGCTAAAAGCCAAGGGCTAAAGAAGAAGCAATTTCAAACATCTGGAGACTATTAGATGTGATTGTGTACTAGCATGTATGTAGGCTAACTAGAAGTATTAGAGACAAATGTTTATTTCAGTTACATTACTGGAAAAATGTGTCAGCAGCCATAAAATATAGGAGAAAATTGGGTCAAATGTCATAATATTTCAAAGTAGTTTCAATTATTTAAGAGATCCTCAAGTCGAGGACAGAGGACAATTCTCCCATTAACACATTCTAAATAAATAATACATGGGTGCTAGCATGTTCTCAGAAGGCTATCTCTAACCTAGTATATAAAGCAAAATAAATTCAAAATTAAAGGAAGAACTTTGATTGTAGCCCGTTGATTTAGATTTGTGGTCCTACCAGTCAATATACAAGTTTAATTTGATTAAACCTAGTTAAACCTGCCGCTATATTTAGTAGTAATATATGTATGTAGATATCCCTTGGGTTAGGATACTTGCTAAGGCAAATATGTATCCAGATATGCTAACCTAGGAATCTGATTATCTTCCCACTGATGGGGTCTGGTAGCAGATTTTGTCCAATTATCTCCGCAACTTGCAATTTCTTCAAATGCATCACCTATATATAAAACATAGCCAATATGTTGTATTAGAAAACACGCCACTTTATTTGAAACTTTATATATTAAACATTTGAAATACTGTTTATTTAACAAGAAGTTTATTACAGATCATTTATTGGCAAAACACTGCAATAAAATAAGCATGGAATTAAATAACAGTTTAAATTAATCCCCATCTGCATTTTGTTTGCTACATGTAACTTTATCTAAAAGTCTTTTAAATTGGAAGTGCAAAAATATATCTAGGAAATTATCTCATTTTCAGAAAAAGTTATGAATTCTTAACTCTCAGGGATTGAGATGCCTTTGAGTTACTTAACAAAACAAGTCTTTGTATATGTAATAACATAGCCGCTCATCATAGATGCCATCATACATTACTATTAGAGTACATATTTACGATGATGCCTAACTTCTATAAAGAAGCAAGCAATTGACAGCCAAATAAGAGCAGAAAAACAACCTTCCTTATGTTACAGAAGATCCCAAAGGGAATAATTGATATTATGGCAGGAATATAAGAAACATGAGAATAATTTGCAAGAGTGGAACAAGTTTTATGTAACTTATTCCTACATCCAATGATTAGCATATTTTATGCAAATGTACTATGACAGGCAGTCCTTGCTTAACAACTGCCCTATTTAGTGACCATTCGAAATTAGGATGACACTGAAAAGGTTAACTTTGTGACTTGCCCTTGCATGTATGACCATCGTAGCCTCCCCATGGTCACGATCAAAATTCAGGCATTTTACAATCAGCAGGTATTTATGACCATTGCAGTGTCCTGCATAAATATGACCAATATTTGTGCACCTCACAGCCAGCTTCTGATAAGCAGAGTCAATGGCGAAGTTGGCAGTAAAATTACAAGTCACAATCATGATATTTTGTTTAATGATCATAAGTACTTTGCTTGTCTGTGGCAGAAGTGGCATCATAAATCTGGTACAGTCAAGTTATTTTTCACTTAAGGACTGTGTCACTTAAGGACAGAGTTTCCAGTTCCAGCTGTGATAATTAAGTGAGGACTAGCTATAATTAATTAATGTATTTCTTCACAAGCCGAAGGTTTAAAGTACAGCACTGGCCATATCTGTTATGACTGCATCACAAACCTATATATAACTGATTTGAAAATTCTGGCAGGAAATGGCTTTTAAGAAATTGGCAATATTCAGGTATAATATATATCTTACAAAAAAATCACTTTCTTTCTCACCCACAGCACCCTTAGAATTATGTATATATTCATTTCCAGGCCTTAAATCTAGCTGTAGTGTCCATTATGACAGACCGAGAAACCTGTAGAAAACCTCTCTTATGTAACCAAATAAATTACATTAATGAAGTCACCAGAAGTGCAATATGACTTGAGGATATATTTATATTTTTTAAAGAGATAACAGATTCTAAATCCATTTTTCAACCAACTGCAGAAACCTATAAAGTGCTCTTCAATATTTTTTCCCCACTATTGGCTTCTGACAGAAGAATGAAATGCCCATTTTCATCAGTGATTTCACACATAAAAAAATTATTTTGAGAAATCTCTTAACAATAAATGTGGTTGTTATCTAAGTCCAAAACACACTGAATGGAATAGTGATTATGAAAAAAACATTGTTGTACCTGAAGCATCTATTAGAGAATACTTTAATAATTATAGACATCAGATGAAGAACTATTGCAAGATAGGTGTAACAGAAAAACAAACTGCAGATCCAAAAGAAAGAAAACAGTCAAACAGCAGAAATAAAGACTCAGCTCTTTCCTCAAATTAGAAGATAGCACTATATTAATTTCTATATAATCTTACAAAATAGTACACAATAGCCACAGTACAATGAAAGTGATGGAGAATGGAGAAAGGAGGATTGCACCCTGCAGAAGAACAGCAGAGCCCAGTCTGACTCCAGTACTGAGATATCACAGGAATTGAACTCTTCAAGCGTGGTTGTTTGTACCTGACAACTATTCCTAGGAAAGCAAAGGGAAAGGAGCCTAAACAACTATGTACATTATGGGATCCCTAGAAAATGACCCAAAGTAATAATTCTTTATTTCACTTTCAAATGACAACTAAACACAGACTGGACTAATGTATTGTATCTATGTTTTACATTTATCTATTGTACACCATGGTTGATTAAGTAATCACAACGACTACGTTCAGGAAGTCATGTGCTTATGTTTTATGCATGAGGTATTGCTGTTGTGTCATTCATTAAAACAGCAAGAGGGATACAAAGTTAAAAAGAAGCATGGAGAAGTAATACTCAGACATTATAGCTGTAATTTCTTATTCTGAAAACAGACTCTTGGATTATGCACCCAGCAGATATTAATGGTGAGCATAGTGTGGAACGTAAGCAATTAATACAAAGGCAACCATTATTTTCTTTAAATTACCATCCATAATTTACAGTTTATTCTAGAGGCTAAATTGTCTGAATATGTTTGAGATAACTTGCATACCTTTTTTCTTTATTTTTCTAAACTTGACTGCAGCCAGATTGATTAAGTTCATTCCATATAAGTTATAATCTATAAAGAGCTGAAGGAGGTAGGGAATATGAGCTTCATGAGGTTGGTAAATTTTATTCATTATAGCGCCACCTTGTAGAAGCTCGCATACTCTAAATAAAAAAAATCATCAGTAGTATTTCAAAATTATTTTTAAAGAAATATTTAAACATGGGAACATTACTGAACATAAATGGAATATAGCAGTTTTCTGATATCTGTACCAAGAATTTCACCTACACATATAACATTTTAGATAGTAAAAACAAGATATGATGAACCTAAACACATGTGTTTGAGGCATCTACAGATGTCTGTGTCTAGCTGTTCAAAATATTTGTTTTGAGCAAAAAGAAATTGCATACAGGTAGATCTCACTTAACCACCACAACTGGGCCCAGATTTTTGGTCTACATTGTTGCAGTCATCAGCAGTGACTTAGTCTGATTTTACAACCACTTTTACAACATTCGTAAAGTGAGTAACTGCAATCATTAACCAAATCACATGTTCATTAAGCAAATTCAATGTATCTAATGGGTGGGTATTTTTGCTGCAAAATGACAAAACCATCGCAAATCACAGTCATGTGGCAGTGGGAGGCTGCAACTGGTTGTAAATGAGAACCAGTTGTCAAGCCTCTGAACTGCTGTCATGTGTCTACTGAGGGCCTGTGTTTGTGGCAGTCATAACTTCAAGGACAGGTTGTGACTTTTGTTGAGTTCATCATAATTAAAGCCATGTTTAATTAAAAGCAGAAACAAGTAGAGATGCCTTCTTTGTGACTGAAGCAGATTAATCTGTGGAAAAATAATAAATAAGCGCAAATTTTGCAATAGTGTATATCTTAATAAATCATAGATTATAGTTATTGTTATAACAGCATTCAGCATTACGGCACTTTTTAAAGCTTTTTTTTTCTATTGGCCAAGGGGTGCAAGAAGCACAGCAATGATGCTACTGCATTGATGAAAGCAGAATTTTTCATTGTATTTATCCTTTTGGAGATTAAGATTATCTATTAATTATGCAAATTAAGCCTTCCCATATTTTGCTACTGAATGTTAGCAAAAACCAACTACCTGGGGATGAGCGCGGGTAAAAGAGGGGCAACAAATTTGATATCTGTATTACATGCTAGGAGCCGTAATGGTGCAGAGATTAGAATGCAGTATTCTGCCCATACCCAGGATTCAATTCTGACCAGTTTAGCCTTCCATCCTTCCAAGACAGGTAAAATGAGGACCCAGATTGTTGCGGGCAATAGGGTGATATTTGTAAACTGCTCAGAGAGTGCTATTAAGCAATATGGAGTAGTATATAAGTACTAAGAATTTATCTACAGTTCACAGTAGCCCTGTGCATACAGGTAGTCTTTGACTTACAAGTGTAATTGGGATCAGAATTTTGGTGGAAAATTGGGCAAGTTTTAAGTTAAGGCATCCACCAGATCACATGATTTTTAAGACCATTTTTACAATGGTCATTAAATGAATCACATGGTCATTAGTTGAAATCATAGTTGTTGAACAAATCATAAAACATTTTACAATTGCCAGAAATGTTTTACAGGTGATAATACAGTCTTTCCGAAGCCATCGTAAATCCAAACTATTGTCAAAAGTCAAATATTATCTGTACAGGTAATCTTCAGCCTGTACAAATAGGCCTCAACTTACAATCATTTGTTCAGCAACCATTCAAAATTATGATGTGTCAGCCCTCATTCCAGTCTCTGTATAAAAAGATATACCATGGAAGTACTAACAAAAGAAATATTTACCTTTTTACCATAGCAGGATTGTAAAGATAGATCTTCATAAATTGCCTTTCTTTTTCATGATATCCATAAAAAGGCCTGGAAAACAAAAATCCAGTATATTATATTCTGGTTTGTCCTGCTCCAAATAATCACTTTGATGAAGTCATGCCTTATGCCTTAAATAATTATCAGCAGAGTAATAGGAACCTTTCCCATCACAGCCCAATCTAGGATTGAGATTCACCTGTACATATTATTTATAGGTTTTTTTTTTATTGCAAGTCAGATACGAAGTAACACAGAATGAAAGATCAATTATTATTTCATTTCTCAGAAACAATTTGAGTGTGTATTAATCATCTTTCAATCTGAAGTGAGAACTACTAATGGATGATCTGAAATAAAGCTTTTTATAGTGCTTGCACAAGTGAGGAGACATCATTCCGACACTTAAATAATGATCTCTGTACCCTTTGAAATTCCAAGTTTGAGAGAGAACATGGATTAGTTGGCTATTACATTGCCATAGTACACGAATACTATCATACACAACTATGCTAATGGCCCACCCCAAGCTCTTTATTTTGGAACACTGTGGCAGCTAGATCAGCATACTTTTTTTATTGCCTTTCCAAAAATACAGATGACGGGATACTTTTTTTGCTTATCGTGCAGCTAAGGGCAATTACATAGTAGCCCTAATAATAAGGTAGGGAATGGCAACCACATTTTTTTTACTTAAATTCCAAATTATTAATTAAGGCTTTTAGAATAAATCTACACATTAATTCCCAAGATTATTCACATGCAAATAAAACAATTGAAATAAATGATCAAGTATGGCATATTATGGGAATGCCATAAATGACAGCCCTGCTAATTTGAAGCAACTTGAAATTTCTACCCAGGTTTATTTTGCCCTACAAAAGAAATATTTCTACTTTTAAATACTGGTGTTTCATAAATGTATAAATTTAATAACATTCTTCCAAAGTTAACCTACCTAAACTGTTGATCAACTCTGACAACATAAATCAATGTATCTTCTATACAAACTATGGAAATTTTGAAGTATAAAGTGCACTCTCATTTAAGAGTTAAGAAATCTTTAAACTATAGCTTTAAAACCACTATTAAGCTACATGGAAAGATTAAGAAACATAGTTTGTCTCCATTAAGAGATATGAGATATCTTTACTAATGTAAGGACTGAGGGGGAAGGGAAAAGGCTGAAATATCAGCTACTTTTAACACTGGCAGGGACACCAACCAAAACCACATCACGATCCTTCCATAATGTCTTGGCTCAAACAGATGAACAAAAATATTTGTTCCACTAATTCTCACATTAAATTATTTTTTCACAATTTCTTTCAATTGCTCAGCCATTGTAGCTGCCAACCCCTGACTAACCTTGCCTGGACTTAAAAGCTAAGCAGGAATATAAGAACCCTTAAGCTACATAAGGAAGCTTGGAAGAAGGCAATGACACATTACAATATTTCTATAATATTGCAAAACTGAAAATCTATCCATAAAATCACCAGGCATGAGGGGCTCAACTTCAAGAAAGCTTTATTTTTTTCTTCAGTTGTGCAGTTCTTACACCGGTATCACAAGAAATACAGAAGAAAGGAGCTGAAATACCCTAAAAAAAACTATTCATCTCATAATCTCTCAAGAGAGAACAGATCAAGACATGCATCAAAACACTTAAAGGAGTGTACACAAGCTGCTTTTTTGCATAAAGGACAAACAACTTTCATCAGAACTTTCTTTCAAAACAAAACTCAGAATGTCCAGAGTGCTCTATATTCCAGACTGAAGAAAGCTTGAAACACTTAAAATATTTTGCTACAAGGAACAATTAGAACACAAAGAAAACCCTTGGTAATCCCTGTATTTTTATTCTAAGGTTACAACAATAGATGACAGTGGTGAAGGGTATAATTACATATGCCTTCTCTTAGGAAGAACTGGGTTAAACGTTTAAAAAATGCTTCAAAAGTTATCATCTGAAGCAACAGAATCAATTAATTAAACATATCTTTACACAATCAATTTTAGAAACAGCAGAAAATAATACAGCATAATTCACAGAAAGCAGACATATCTTTCCTCAGGATGGTCTCTGCAATTACATTTGTTCCTCTCTGTGCTCCAAAATATATTTTCAGAATCAATTCTGAAGTATTGCATAGTCCTAATACATAGCCTAATACATATGTTAGTTTTACTTCTTAGCTCAAAAATGTTACTAATTCAAGATTTATCATGTTGTGGAGAAATGTGCATTCACATTCCCAGCTTGCAATTATGGGTTTCTTAGTTTCTGTTTTTTCTTCTAGGTTTTAGAGATCTAAGAGGCTCAAATTCTGATATGCATATCAATGCAAAAATGACATTTACCATGTTTCTTCTGTATTTTAATTGTAATCTTTCAGCTATTATCTTTCCTACTCTCTCTCCACCTCTAAAATCCTCAATTTAAAAACAAGGGCAAAAAAGTAATTAAGATCGTTTATTCAGTTGCTGCTTTTTAAAAAGTTAAATTCCAACCTATACCAAAAAACACTGCAGCCAATTTTGTTAGAAAAAAAATAATGGAGTTGGTTCATTGTGAAAATTAAAAAGCAGGTATGGCTACAGTAAAGGAGTGTTGGTCTTACCTATCTCATATGGTGGAGATAGCATCCAGGAAGAGTACAGAATACTATGAGGAGAGTGGGAGTCTGTTTTGTATATGCAGATACAAATAACAGACAACCCATGACCCACTGAAACATGCTTTCAGAAATATTTCCTTATCTAATATCAGAATGACCACAAGGGGGCAAAAACTTAGTGGGAGCTATTTCTGACTTCCAGCTGGCTTCCCCCATTGACTTTATTGGTGTGAAGCTAGCAGGCAGTGTCAGAAATCACAATCCTGTGATTGTGGAGGTACAACAGATAATACTATAGCATTCACAATTTTGCCATTACAAAAGGTCTGGAGATTCTTGAAATCTCAATCTGATGAGGACAATTGAGGGTGTATTCTTTAAATTAGTCCATTTGAGGTACCTCAATTCAAAAATTGTTGCCCTACGCCATTTTGCCCAACTGAAAGTTACATACAAACAAGCAAAAGAGTTTTAGTAGTATATAGATTAACTATTTTCAAAAATAATTGTATTATTTAACAACGTTTAAAAAATAAATCAATACTTACATTCCATATACTAGTGACACCTTAAACACATGCTGAACAGAAGAAGATGGATTTCCTAAAGTGACATTGAGTGCCCGGTCAATGCTGAATGCCAAACTACGCAGATAATTATCTGGCAAATGTCCATAACCATCGTATGGCACATACAAGTAAGGGAAAATACCATGTAAATGGAGACAAGTCTTCTGACCTGAAGAAGAAACAAATTGTTCAAAATAATTCTGAAAATTCAGAAAGATATAACTTTCAAATAAGTGCTTAAAGCAGGTTTGAAATATCCACATATAAATATACTATTTATTTATGCTACATTACAGACTGCAGTTATTTACCCTTTGCAAATGATTCCAAATGGGTACTTAAGACTTTACACAGGAACAGCAGTTCTCAGATATTTATTAAAGCAGTCCATTTCTTTTTTTTTTAAAGAATAAGGCTGCTTTAAAGGACACTATTAAAATGCAATTCCTTTAAGAATCCAGAGTTCAAAAGATGCCTCAAAAAGTGAAGCTTCTTTAATAAATAGCAAAAGTATTACACTTGTTACTAATGTAGAATGTCACTAACTCCTCTGCCATTTATTAAAGAAGCCTCTCTTTTTGCCAATGTATGATATATTTTGCTTTCCATAAAAGCTTTGAAACAGTTTAAAAATCAGAGTTAAAGCAATAATATAATAATGTTAAATTATTAATGTAGTATATTAAATAATTAAAGTACTCTGTTTCTTAAAACAGCATGCATAAATATTTTTTATTTATTTATTATATTTGCACTACCCTATTCCCATAGATTCTGGGTAAGTAATAAATGTAAACAGATACAATACTTCCCATAAGAAAAAAAGAAACAAGGACATGGATTCTCTCTTAGAAGATCATAAAATAAAAAGGGAGGGAGGACTTAAATCGGGGTCCCCAACACCTGGGCTTCTACCGGGCTGTGAGCTGTTTAAACTGGGCCACCCAAATCAGTGGGTGACCATGCATGTGTGCACTTCCCAACTTGCATGAGCAGTAAATGGAGCTGTGCATGCTTGCCCGCCCCTCATACGGAACCATCCCTACTACCCACTCCAACTGGTCCTCAAAGCCAGAAAGGTTGGCGAACTCTGCCTTAAATGCCATAGTGAAATATCAAACAAATATAAACAGATTTCTTACACAAAATCTAGTACAGGAAAATTTTAAGAAGTATCAGTTAATTTAGGCAGAAGTCATAAACAGAATTTATTTAGAATATGACTAAGATTGAGCTTTCTTCAATTTAATGCTTAAAGATATACTGTATTTCAATTCTATAATTCTAGGTTGTGAAATATTGCCTTACTTCATAAATAAAAAGTTATATATGTTTATCGCCAGTTTACTTATGCACTAGAACAGCGATGGCGAACCTTTTTTGGCTCATGTGCCATAAGTGGGGGGAGCGCAGGGGGGATCGTGTGCGGGCGTGCCACACCCATAATGCAATGTGTGACACCCCCCCCAGTGTGCATGCGCGCACTACAGGCGCAACCCATTTTTTGCATGCTTTTTTTGCTCTCCCCAGGCTCCAGAGGCTTTATAGGAGCCTGGGGAGGGTGAAAAGACTCTCCCCACCCTCCCCGGAGGCCCTCCGAAGGCTTCATGAGCTTCCGTGAAGCCTCCGGAGTGCAAAAAACCGGCCCTACGGGCAAACCGGAATTTCAGGAACGGACTTCCGGTTTGCTTAGAGGGTCGTTTTGACTGCTCCAGAGACTTCAGGGACTTCCAAGAGGCTTCCCTGAAGTCTCTGGAGCAGTCAAAACGACCCTCTAAGCAAACCGGAAGTCCATTGCCAAAATTCCAGTTTGCCCATAGGGCCAGTTTTTTGCGCTCCAGAGGCTTCACGGAAGCTCATGAAGCCTCCGGAGGACCTCCAGGGAGGGCGGGGAGACTCTTTTCGCCCTCCCCAGGCTCCTATAAAGCCTCTGGAGCCTGGGGAGGGAGAAAAATGCCTTTAAAAAAGGGTAAACTCAGCTGGTCAGCGTGCGCATGCACGCTGGCCAGCTGATAGGGCAGCGCCTCACATGCCCGGACAAATGGCTCTGCATGCCACTTTTGGCATGTGTGCCATAGGTTCGCCATCACTGCACTAGAACAGTGATGGCGAACCTTTTTCACCTCGGGTGCCAAAAGCATGTGTGTGCGCTCACATGCCCACCCCCATAATTTAATGCCATCCTGGGCCATGCCCCTGCACATGCATGTGTGACACACAGCCCTGTGTATGCGTGCATGCCTTTTTTGGAGCCTGGGGAGGGCAAAAATGGCCTCCCCTGCACCCTCTGGAGGCCCTCCGGAGGCCAGAAATGGACTGTTTTCAGACATCCAATGGAGCCATTCAGGTGCGATGGCAGATCACAGAGACTGTGGTGGGGGACACAACAGGCGAGCGGCGGTGGCATGTGACTTCTGGCATTGTGGGGGAAGGCAGAAGCACAACTGTCTTCTTGGCAGCAGGTGTGGAGGCAACTGAGGGGAGGGTGGACAAAAAGTTAAGCCACTGCTCCGCAGGTTTTAGTTTTGAACTTGCCAGAGACTTCCCATTTTGACCCCGCCCCATTGTTGCCTCTGTGCATGTATTTGTGTTGTGTGCATGCCCGGGGGTGTGTGTGGAATCTCCAGAAGCAGGGGCAAGACCTGTCAAAGGCAAGACCTGCAAAAGGGGGGGGGGGAGTTGACCAGCAGTGACCTGCTTTCCAAACGCAAGCAAAAACAGAGTGGGATAGAGTAAGCGTTCCAGCAGTCCCCATCGCATACCTCCTCATTGCCTCTGCCTGCTGCCGTGTGTACTGCTGGGACAGCCAGTCCAGTGGAGCAGGTTCCGAAGCCATAGAATATGCTTGCTAAGTGGCTAGCAGGCTGCCAGTGCTGCCAGAAAACATCGGCCCCCGCACACAAAGGGCAGTGAATGCGTGATGAGAGACAGTTTCTGGCACTTCCTGCCCCGCACCTTGCGTTGCCTCATGGTTGCAGCACCCCACCCCCATCCGACCCCCTGCATTGCCTCACCTCACCTCATCTGTGGGATGAGACTCTCACCAACCGCCTCACCCATTAGAGACCCCTGGATTTCCTCCCCAACACCACCCGGCCCATGTGAGCGACATCGAGCTGGCCACACATGGACCAGGCCATGCCCATCTATTTTCAGTAGTGGCACTAACATTTGCCTACCACATATGGCTTATTTAGTTGCTGGTATTCCTGAAAGCATTAAAAAGTAAGTATTGCAATCTTAGGCCCTAACAAAAATTATTCAATGAGCCACTGCATCAGTTTGGTAAAAACAATACTGTACACTAGTTTCTTGTACCTTAAATTTTATTGTAACTGCAACTCATCTACAGCAGTGGTGGATTTCAAAAAATTTTGCCACTGGTTCGGCGGGCGTGGCTAGGGGGCATGGGACTGAGTGGGTGTGGCCAACTTGATGTCACTCACGCACAGGCAATCACATGGCTACCACCACCGAGCCACACCCACCAAACAAGTGGGGAAAATTTTGGGGACTTTTTGACAAGGTTTTTTGAGGGGGGGGCAGCCGTCAGAGGTGAGAAGGGGCACTCCCGTGTCCACTGCAGAAGCCCCCCAGGCAAGCCACTCTCCGCCTCCCTAGACCAGGCCTGCAGCTTGCACCAGACCAAGGCTGCCGCTGTCCGCTCCCTTTGTCTAGCCCGTCAGCTTTGAAAGAGGCAGCTGAGAGAGTTCATTTCAAGCCAGCCGCTGACCGCAGAGCGCTGAAAAGTCCTGAGCAAGTAAGGAGGATGCGCATACACGAACATGGTGGCAGCAACCGGAGGACTTTTCGTCGCTCTGCAGCAAGGGACTGGGTGGAAAAGAACCCTCTCAGCTACCTCTTTGAGAACCAGCGGCCTGACCGGTGCTGCCACCTCTCCCTCTGGCCGGGCAGAAAAAGGAAATGGACAGCAGCTGCGGTCTCGGTCTGGCATGAGATGGGGGCCTAGCCTGGGGAGGTGGAGAGCGGCTTCTATGACAGTGGTGGGAGCAGAGCAGTCAGCGGCTGGTTTGGAAGTGAATGGCTCTCAAAGGGGGCAGCTGGGAGGCTTCTTTGCCAGCCAGCCAATTCCCAGCTCCAACCAGCTTGCCATCCGATGGACTCTGGACCAGCCACTGTAGAAGATAAGTAGCGTGCTCTGAAGAAAGAGGCGGTGGCTCAGAAGTGGGACTAGGACCAGGGCCACAGGGAGGGAGGGGCAGCGAGGGAGGCAGCTCCAGGACAAGGCCAGAGCCGGGGAATGGCGCAGTCCCCAAGCTGGCTGAGGCGAGCCACAAGAAGGCAATGGCAAGGGGGCAAGGCTGGAGGCGGGAATTGCACATTCCCTGACCTGACCAAAGTGGGCTATGGCTCCAGGGCCTCAGGGAATAGCATGTCTCTGGGGCCTCAGTCCTCAACCTAAGACAGTCAGGCAGCATGCTTACTTACCTTTGGTGAGCTGAGCAGAGCGGGCGAGGCCCGTAGCTGGAGGATGGGCCATGTGGCAAAGGCCTATATAGGGCTCAGATGGGTGGGGCAAGCATCAAGCAAGCGAGTGAGCATCGTGTGGGTGGGGCAAGCATTGGATGGGTGGGGCGACTGAGCGGTGGGCAGACAGGCAGGGAAACGTGGGGTGCACCCAATTTCCACTACCAGTTTGCCCAAACAGGTAGGAACCCACCTCTGATCTACAGGTGGTCCTCCCTTAATAACCACTTGGTTAGCAATGATTTGCAGTTATGACAGCACCTACAGTTGGCCCTCATAGATGCAGCTATTGCAGCATCTCATTGTCATGACTAGAATCAGAGCTTGCAATTGTGATAGTTGTAGCATCCTGCAGTCATGTGATTGCCCTTTGTAAGGTTCAACCATAGACATTAATTTGGCTGCCTTTTGTTCAATCTGAGGAAAATTTTACTGAAAAAGATCACTTTCAATTTAAGTGAAACATCTATATGATTATTGTGTATATATTTTAAAAGTGACAAAACTAGATCTGAATAGATTTAAACATTAAGATACGTAAGGTAAGGTGTTTACCTTAAACCAAATAGTACTGCATTTTCTTGTGTTATCTGTTTCTTAATATCAAGGGATCATTCTTTCCCACGAGCAAACAATTATTAAGTGTATTCCAAAAGGGATAACTCCTAGTAAATACTGATA